CAGAGCACTACAGTATTGGCCTCCGCCAGGCAAACGGCTTTAAGCAGAGTGGTCCCTCGGGCACAGTGCCTGCCCCGCCACCTGAGAAACCTTCTGAGGGCAAAGTCTGGGCTCAGGCTCATCAGCAGGTGAAGCCAATCTGGAAGCTGGAGAGGAAACACGTGGGGACACTCTCAGCAGGTTTGGGCCCAGGCCTCTTGGGTGTCTCACCCCAGCCAGCATATTTCTTTTGCCCTAGCACTTTATGTAGCTCTGGGACCACAGCCGTCATTGCAGGCCACAGCAACTCCTGTTACCTGCGTTCTCTCCCAGACTTGTTCAGCAGTACCCTGCTGTACCGGCGCTCCAACTACAGGCACAAAACATACCAGCAGCTGGAGTCTTTCTGCTTGCGTTCAGGCCTGTCCGAGAAAAGACCGTTTTCTCTCCCTCAAAAGAGCCTCCCTGTCAGACTCACTGCCAATAGAACCATTTCTTCCACGGTCTTCCCCATGGCCCAGCCCATGGCATCCTCATCCACAGATCCACACCTCTCACTGGGAGCAGCCGGGGAAAACTCCTCAGGGAGGAGCCTGGCCTCTGCCATCTCAGGGAAGATCCCTTCTCCACTCCCTTCCTCGTCCTCCTCCTACAAGCCCATGCTGAATAACAACTCCTTCATGCGGCCAAATAGCACTAAAGTGCCTTTATCACAAGCCACAGAGGGCCTGAAGCCAGTATCTTCACCCAAGTTTCAGCTCGTCTCCTGGCATCATTCAGGGGGCACTGGAGACTGTGCACTGCAGCCTGTTGAACACAAGGTACCCAAGAGCAATGGCACTGAACTATATGACACCCTTGCCCATAGCACCCTGTCTACTCCTAGCTCCTCAGACACCTCTACTACCAGCGTTGCCTCTCCTCAGTACAACCAGAGTAACTTAGCCATGAGGGCAAAGCCACATCCCTGTGGCCTGGATGGTGACTCTGTTTCCCAGGCTCTGACCAGGGAGGTTCGGTTCACTGAGGCCGTGAGGAAGTTGACTGCAAGAGACTTTGAGAAGCCGAGGCAAGGCTGCCAGTTTGATCAATCATGTCTCGTGAACCCCAGCTTGCAGTGGGATCTCCTCAACAGGAACAGACGGTGGAAACCTCCTGTGGTAGGCCAGCAGTTCCCTCAGGAGGATGCTGGAGCAGACAGTAGGGTCCTCTCTGGAGCCTCAGACACCTCGGAGTTGGATGGTACAGTCTTCTGTACCAAACGCATCAGCATTCACCTCCTTGCCTCACACGCCAATGGGCTCAGCTGCAGCCCTGCCTCTGGATCTGCAGTTGACTCCCCTCCACTTGGAGAAGACAAAACTCCAGTTCTGCCTTCTCCCTCTCAGCCCTTTGGCTTAGCTGATATGGCCACTCGCTTCTCTTCCATCCATCTGGGCCAGCTTGGGAAGGAGGGACCTAAAGAAGCCAGGGAACTGGACTCATCTGCTAGGGATATTGGGTAAGTCGGAGAAAGCTTTTAGTTCATTTAGAGCCGCAGCATGTGTTCATCATAATTTGGTGACACTGATCCTGTGTCTCTGAAGGTTGGTTTTCTATTTTAGCTGCCCTAGAATTTTGGTTTTCACATTAGGACAAAGGTCAGCAAACTACAGCTTGTAGTTCAAATCCCACTCACTGCCTACTTTTGAAAAGTTTTATTGAAACAGCCTCGCCCATTTGTTTACTACTGTCTATGGCTGCTTTCTTGTGACAGTGGTAGAGTTGAGTAGTTGTGACATACTGAGTGGTCCACAAAACTGAAAACATTTATTATCTAGTCCTTTAGGGCAGTGGTCCCCAACCTTTTTGGCCCCACGGACCAGTGCTCCTATGAGAATCTAATGCCTGATCTGGAGCTGAGGCGATGATGCCAACACTGGGGAGCGGCTGCAGATACAGACGAAGCTTTGCTCACTAGCTCTCTGCTCACCTCCTGCTGTGATGCCTCATTCCTAACAGGCCACGGGCTGGTACCTGACAGGCCATGGACTGGCCCGGGGGTTGGGGACCTCTGCTTTAGAGGAACAGTTTGCTGACCTCTGCTTTAGGTTATAACCAGGGAGAAATAAGAATTTTAAAAACCAACTGTTGTGGTCTGTGACTTTTCTGCTTAATTCCAAACCAAATCAGGTTCTCAGACACTCCTAGTATGACAGCTATTTCAGAGTTAGGACATACATATACTTGGCTTCTTCTCTTGGCTCCTTGTTACTTCTCTGGAACGTTGGTTCACCAAGGCCTTGTTCAGAGAGAGGTCTAGGGACCTTTGAAGTCAATTACCAGATGTTCATCGATGGTGTTTTGAATGCAGAATTTTGTATTTATGTGCTCTGAGGGACTGCAAAGAAGATGGAAGACAGTGCCTCTCTACAGAACAGGCGATGTGGGGTTGAGGAACTATAGCTAGACCTAAGCTCTGCGGGCGAAAGAAATGAGTCGTGAGGCCCAGGCAAGAGACAGCAGATTGGTGGCTGGGGAAGAGACAATCATTGGGAGATGATGAAGGAATGCGAATCTTAGCTGTGACCTCTGTTATTGAATTGGCTGGGCTGGGGGCATGATTCTTTCTTATAGTTCAGCTACTGACCTCCAGCTAGACCAGGTTGAGGCTGAAGATTTAGAAGAAGAGCTCGTAGATGGTTTGGAAGACTGCTGCAGCCATGATGAGAACGAAGAGGAGGAGAGTGAGTAGGGGACCCTCTTACCACCAACTGGGAATTGGTTACCACCCGCTGGGGGAGGGGGGCTAATAATTGTGTACCAGGTCTGTGACCCACTTTATGATCTACATTATTCATTCACCTCGGGGGTCCAAGGGGGTGGCTAGTGGTTTTGGGGAGACTTCTCTAGTCCTCCTTTCCTACCAGTCTTGCTTTCTCCCTGCTGCTCAGGGAGGGCAGTGCAAGGCAGCAGGGTGGTGCTTGTGGCTTCGTGAGAAGGCTGCGCCAAGATGTCCAATGAAGAGCTGCCTACGCTTAGTGAGTTTGTGTAGCAGCCTCTCCCATTCAGAACTTCTCTGCTTCCCCCGCAGGAGGCTCAGAGTGCTCCTCATTCAGTGCTGTCTCCCCCAGCGAGTCGATAGCAGTGATCTCTCGGTGAGTGTTGGCTGTGTAGATCATTGGTAGATACTCATTTTCTGTCTCTTTAGGATTATAAAGAGATTAATTACCTAAGTAATGACCCTGTTAACCCTAATTAATTTTTGTCAAATTTTTATATTCGAGGCTTTAATTTTCAAACAAAAAACAATGGAAGGGACCAAAAACATATTTCATCGGTTGGGTTTAAAAACAGTACCATGTTTCTTGGACAGCAATTTGGTCTTTAGGCTCCAAGAAACTGTTCAAGTCAAAAGCAGATAATTTCAAGAAATGAAATTAATGAAGAAACGTAAAGTTTGAGGTAAATTATTAATTAGGCCACCCAAATGTGGTTATTTGCCACCTTGCATCACAAATGTGTCCTACTGTCAGAAACAGTTCTGAAATAGATATACCACTAATTGGAACTTTTTAAAATGCTCTTTTACTCCCTTGTGAGGTTAGTTTTATATTTGGAAATAAGACTGTGGCATTAACCTTAATAAGAAATCAAATTAGAAACTGTAGCTTTAATGTACATTATGTTTTTGACTGCCCTTGGTGGAGTCTGAGTGATATCGGCCTCTGGGAACCAAAAAGTCAGTCTCTTAATGTAGCCCCTTCTTTTGTGAAACAGGTAGTCATGGGGTGCTGCATAACTGAGATGGGGAGTTGAGGAGAGGAAGGAATGCAGGATTAAGGAAATTACTGTGAACAAGGACATGTTACTGTGCTAAAGATTTTTAGAACTTGCTAAAGGATTCTGTACACCACGTTTCTGGGTAGAAAGTTAACATTCTTCAGCATAATCTTCCGTGTTCCCCGGACCACTCCCAACCTTGCCTCAATAGGAGGCTCTGTCATCATTATATTGTTTTATTAACTATTAAAAAGAACCCCCAAAGTACTAAACATTAAATAAAGTTTGTTCTCTTTGAAAATAACTTCTATCGAAAATGTAAAAGAAACAAAATATAAATCTAGAAAATTGGTGAGTTTTTTTCTTTTATTAATAGAAAAATTTCTAATTTTAATTAAAATCCAGCTAGGTGTGTAGGCTTGCCGGAGTCAGGTTGCTTTCCTTTGTGTCATCTGTGCCTTAGATGAAGCTAAGAGGAAAGAGGACTATCCATGCCTGGTTCGCGTGGACAAAGCAAACTGTATCTCTGTGAATATGATGGTGGCAACGGCTGTAACAATTTTAGAACCCCAAACCAGGAAGGCAGAGAAAGCTGTTGGGCAAGTGGAGAGACAGAATTGAGACTTTCTATGAAGGTGGATAGAAATCCTGTCATAGATACCCTGAGTCTGGTGCATAAATTTTGTTACTTTAAGCCTAACTCATCCTTCTTTCAGAAAAGCAAAGCTATTTTTGGTTGTATGTATTGGATGTTGACTAAGCACCTCCACTCTCCATAAGGGAAAGATAGTAAACATGTAATTGACTTGGAGTCCCACCTCTTCCATACTTAAGGGTGATCTGGGTTTATTTTCAGGCCTTCTTGAAGACAGCTGCATAGTCCTTTATTTAATCTCTCTGATTTATGAGATAAAATTCACACAAGGTGTTTGTTAATAATTCGTTCATTAATTAATTTAACTCCTACAAAATTCACAGGCCTTCTCATCTATATGAGGCTTAAAACATAGGGTTTCAAGCACATAGAGATTGAGGAATTCCAAACCACTTTGCATTTTAAGAATGACTAAAACAAATTCTTTTGGATTGCTAAATCTTATTTTTCCCAATTATGAAAGATTTATATATTTATTACAGGAAATTTGGCAATTACAGAAAGATCATTGAAAACGCTGTCTCTCTTTCTCTACTCAGCAATAGTTTATTGCATTTCCAGTTCCATATTGCTTTTCTAAGAA